GCAATTTAATGCACACAATATAATAGTAAGCATTTTAGGCAGTATAAGAGAAAATAAATAATAAACTATGACGAATATGTACTAACTAGTTCCGACTCCATAAGTGACATGTAATTAATTTAGAGTTTTTAATTTTACAAAACATAGTATTATTGATTATTAAGCTTCAGTTTACCATAACATGGAAAAAATATGAGAGACTTTTATCTCGGATCAGTGTTTAAAATACCGTACTATCTACTGCGCCTCCTGGTGATTCTCAGTTTTCTGAATTTTTTTATGTGGAATTTAAAATACCCGTCGCATATCCAAAAATGCCATGAGAGACCAAAATAGACATTGAAAAATCTTTTCGGCCAATTTTAGGTTTTTGGCACGGCGTCGTCGCCGTGTTCTAGCACCAGCTCTACCGCCCACGGTGGCGGTTTGCCTCAGCATGACCAGTTTCGGCTGGTTTAGGCTAGTTTTGGCTTGTTTTATGCGTAAACCTACGAAAAAATGAGTTAGAAAGTCTCGATTTGCCGGAAAAGGTAAAAAACTAAAACCTAATGGTGGAGGATCTCTGGGTGCGGCAGCTTTACCAGTTCTCCTTCGTGGCTGGGGTTCCTTTTCAACTAACATGCACAAAAAAAAGACGGTGAACATAACGGTCAAAAAATAATGTAAAACAGAAAACAAAAAAGGAGTTATCGAAGAGGGTTTTGGGCTTTGGTTGCGGCAGCTTGACCGAGCTTTGTCTGCAGTTTTCGGCTCACCTGTTGATCCTTTGGCTCTGATATGGGTATAGGAAGCCTCATGATTGAATTTTGATGGGGAAGGGGAAAAAAATACCTGTTTTAGCGTCGGCAGTGGTTCCGGTGCGGTGACGACGGTGGTCGGCCTCATTCTCTGATGTCTGATTATTTCCACAGTTGGTCTTCTTCTTTTTCTCTAGTCACTCCTCTATCGACTAGGGTTTTGATTCCCTACGAAAAGGAGTTTAAATACTCATCTCTATTCAATCCAAGTTGCTCGTTTGAGTCGACGTGGAGCAAGGCGGATTGTTTGATGATTTTCCATTTAGCCTGATTGCGTAACGTGTAACGACCCCGGAAAATATTAAAATGAAATGAGTATTTAAATATATCGAATGCGGAAGCGAGATCAAAATTCCAGTTAACATCCCTTACACGAAAAACCAAACAAACGTACTTAAAATATAAAAGGTTAAACTAACTAAGAAAGAAAACTCGAAAATAAACTATGCGTATGACTACAGAGTCTCTAGGCATCCCCTTCGTCGTCCTCCTGCGGAACGGGCTCGGGAACCATGTCTTCCTGATCTGAAATGGTTAATTAAGGAGTGAGCTACACTAGCCCAGTAAGAACATCACGATATCTCACCGTCACGGAGATAAAGGTGGGTAGAAAACCACAAAAAGACCAATGGAGCATAATTTACAATAAACTCGTTTATTAACAACAAAACCTTTTATCAATAATAAAACTTTTACCATCCACTTACCTTGGTGGAATTTATGAAAACAATATGAGAAAAACAATAACATTATCATAATCATTGAATAATCTAAGCTGTAAAACATAACACTTATCACGCATCTTGTAATTCAATCATTGTACAACATATCTTTTTTCTCATTTACCAGCCTACTAGTATCCGTGGGGGTCCATAGGGGTTCCGCTACCCGTTAACCTTTAACATTCATAATCAGTTTCCAGGGCCGTCCCCATACCCCGTCCGGTATGGGCGCCAAAACCATGAACCTCAATACCCCGTCCGGTATGAGGGTGAAACGGGCCGTCCCCATACCCCGTCCGGTATGGGCGCCAAAACCATGAACCTCAATACCCCGTCCGGTATGAGGGTGAAACGGGCCGTCCCCATACCCCGTCCGGTATGGGCGCAAAAACCATAAGATCTCCATACCCCGTCCGGCATGTGAGACCACAATCCCGGTAGGGTTCCCTACGGACCCGGTCCGTCCACCATCTCCCAGGATATCTAGTCAGGCTGACCCCCATAATACAATTATCAGTCTACACAATCTTTCATTTTTCCTTTTCCTCAATCAGCATCATCAATTCACATTTAAACAAGCAAATCGTAATTCATACCAGACAGACAACATACAGTATCAGTTTTTCAGTCATTCAACCCATAATTAAAAAAAACGTAGTACATGCACACAAATCTGTAAAATGAACACATCAAACCTCATTTTGCATTTAAAGCTGTAAACAGGCCAAATAACAGTAAATCATCAATCACACTAGACTCGGGCTCCATTAGCAACCTTAAGCAATTTCACACATGCGTTAATTCAAGAAATACTGTTTTATCATTTTGAACTTTAATACCGTGATAGGAAATAGGGTGAGGGGTCCTTACTTGTTTTCGGGATCCGAATACGATTCACAGTGCGCCTGCAGGCTGTCCCTAATTTTCCCTGAATTTTTCCCGGGGAACTGAAACACGCTAACAGTACCTGCACGTGTTCCAAAAAAAATCCAAATTAGGCCCAGGGCCTCTTTCGGCCCAAATCGCAACTCCGGCACGGCGGCTCCGCCGTGCTCCGGCGACGGCGCCGCCGCTGGCGGCGGCGAGTCGCCTCGGGTTGACTGTTTTCGGCCGTTTTTTGGCCGAATTCGGCCACACTCGCATTGGTCCTTGTCAGAAAACAACCCTAGGGCCCTCGGGGGGCCAAAAAATCACGGAAAAGCGGAGCTTACCGGCGGCGGCGCTCTCGGGTACGGCGACTCTCCGGCGAAGTTCGTGTTTTGGTGATTTGGCTTCGGTCAACCTGTAGAGAAAAGAATGGTGATCACGGTGATATAAAAATTGCATCGAACGGAGGCCGGGAAGGGCCTCGTCGGAGGCAAAAACCGAGAGGGGGCGCGGCGGCGCCGCTGGGCTTCGGCCGCGTATTCCGGCCGTTTGGCCGGGATTTCGGCTTCGATTTGGCCATAGGAGGAATCAGTGGGGAAAAACGAGTCGGGGGTATGAAATTTACCTCGATCGGCGGTCGGAAATTTCCCCGGTGCGGCGGCGAGTGGCGGCGGGTGGCGGCGGTCGGCCTCTGGTTCGTCTTCTCCGGCGAGCGGCTGGCGGCTAGGGTTTTTGGTCTGGTGTGGGGGTTCTATTTATAACCCCTTGCCTTTTGATCACAGCCGTTCGTTTCGTTTTAATCTGGGCCGTTCGTTTTTGATTGAATCTGGGCCGTCCGTGCGTTTGAATTTGGGCCGTCCGATCGCGTGATTGATCTGGGCCGTCGGATCGCACCCACGCGGATCGCCAACGTGGCTCCTTTCGGAGTGACGCGATCTTGCCACGTGGCAGGCCCCTGCTGACCGGGCCTGCTGACGTGGCTGCTGACGTGGCCCCCCCTTTTTTTTTTTTTTTTTTTTTTTTTTTCCTCCTCCTTTCCGGGCGCTACATAACGAATCTAGATCGTCCATTGCGATCAACTCCATCCTCCGATTGCGCTTGAAGAGAAAATGCATCTGGGCCGTCTGTGTGCACAAGATGTGATCTGAACTATCGGATCGCCAAGCATGTGGATCACCTACGTGGTGCTGATGTCAACATGTTTGTCACACGACGTATTCTGGTTTGCTATGACTGCTGACTGGGCCGTCCCACATGACCAAACTTTTTTTTTTTTTTTTTATGATTTTACCATTTGTTTTTAAATTTTCTTTCAAAAATACCCATCTTATTTTCAATTTCACCAATTTTTTTAAAATTATTTTCAATTTCGTCCATAATTTATTTTTTCTTAAAAATTTAATAAAGTTTAAATTAAAATAAAATTTTTAATTATTTATATATATTTTATAAATGAGAAAAATTATCACGGACTAAATTCTGATCCGGAATATTACAAGTTATATATATATACTCCTAAATAACATTGTATATATAATAATAATAATAATTATTGTATGCATGTATTACTAGAAATATAAATATATTTTTGAAATATAAGATTTATATCAAAATTCTGGAATCAATTTAATCACATTGTGATTAAAATAGTTAATAAATAATTTTGTACACACATATATATATATGTATGCACTAAATTCATTATGAAATTAATTAATATCTTTTATGGTTAAGCTTAATGCGATGTGAATGACACTAAACTTATATATATAAGTTCATATAAGACAAAATGTTATATATATATATTTATTAAACTAATTACAAATTAATTAATCTTTTTAATTATTTATTTATATACAATAAAATTCGTATTAATTATCTATCATAAATACATCTTTTATTTATTAAACAAATTAAAAAATAATTAATAATTTTTTATAAGGTGACTTAAGACAAATAAAATCTACATCTAGTTACATATATAAATATATATAAAATATTAAAATACTACTTTATATGTATATATATTAAGAAATTAAATCGAATTCTAATTTATGGTATGTTTTTTAAAAGACATATTGTCTAACATTTCTAAATATTTATAATTACATTTAATTAAAGAACATAAAATTAGTTTTGGTGGGTTTTTTCCCTTCTTTTTATTTTTTTTTTTAAATTAAATTAAATTCTTAATATATCGTGATTATTACAATCAAAATAATTTAATTATTATTAGATGTTATTTTTATTTAAAATATAATATTTTAATCAATATTTTATATAATTTAATTATGTAAGTCTAATAATATATTAATAAATTAAATTTTTAATTTTTATTAAATTAAATATTTTAAATTAATTTTTATTAAATTATAATATATTTATTAAATGATATATTTTATATTATTAATTAAATTTAAATTTATAAACTTAAAGTAGAACAAAAAGAATTTAACTATTAAATTATCCTGTCTCTAATTAATAATGTATTATTACTGTGATATTTATCATTACGTAATAACGTAATGCAAAATGGTAAAGACGAGGATGTTTAACATTTAAATTTTATTGAGTCTTATAACTAACTAAGTACTCCCCTAATTCCTCTGTCAAATTTTGAAAATCCGAGCGCCTGCAGATTTGAGAGGAACAGCAACGAAGATGAAGAAGAAGGCTACTTGCAAATCCTCTGTATCTCCATTGGCGGAGAAATTATTCTGTCCTCCTCTTGCGAAAGACTCTCCAAAATCCACAGTCATCAATAAGAAGAAGAGAACTCTCGCTTACGCCTCCACCTCCGCCTCTGCTTTCTTCAAACTCAAATCATCACCGCTTGTTGATAATAATCGCAGCGACAATCACAAAAGTCCGGCCACTATCTCCGATCTGAAGGACTTCGCCTCGTCTCGCGTGGACGACATCAAGCGCAACCTCATCGATCGCTCTCACTCTGAGATTGTCAAGGACTTCGAGGCCTCTTATTCTCGATTACACAAACGCTTCAAGGTCATTCCTCTTTAGATTTTGTGATTTCATTTCTGTATTCCGAAACTGGCTCTGATTTACTTGCATGTACTTTTTCTGCTATTAGAAATAGAGAGAATAATCAGTATACATAAGCTCTTTCGTTTTGAAAAAGGAGTTTTAAAACGGTCAGTTAATTTCTGTTTTTCTCCTGAGGATCTGTTTTTTTTTTTGGGGATGTTTAGTATGTTCATGTAATTTATTGATATGAAACAGTTAATGTTTGCTCGCACTTGTTGATTATGTATCTTTTTTTTTTGAATTTGTACGATAAATTTTGAGAACGATTGCGTTATTGGCCATTTAGCATCATACGAAGCTTAATTTAATGAAGAGTTAGAACTTAGTTTCGTTGTGTATGAAGAAGAAAATTAGAGTATCTGCATTCTGCCTAGTAATGAAAAGTCTGCAAGTTAATGAGGGCTGAGTTGCTCTCCATTTCAATGGTGAAAGTTCACACTTGGAGTTTCTTGCTGTGTTTCGACATGACCTCCTGGCAATATTATTGTATTAGTCACAATTGAAACTTACATTAAAATTCATTCACGTCCTGAAATTTTGATTTTGCTGGAGTCATTAACTGTTCTATAATTCTTTAATTAATTTCATTCTGTAATTTATACAAGCTTTGAAACTTTAGCTGGACCGATGCTGCCTTTTATTAATAAGTGAGTTCCTATAGGTATTCTTTTGTTTTACATCCATGAAGAATCCTAGCAATTCCTAGCTTAATTCTTTGGCTGCTCAGTATTCTCATGTTAATGAAAGGTGTTTGACCGATATGGATAATCTTAGTACTCTATTTTTTCCCTAAAGCTTCATGTATCACAAAAAATATTTTGAAGTTTAAACCTCATTAATTGCTTTCAAGAATTTATTTTTCACAATTAATCTTGGATTCAATGTACAGATACAGACACAAATGTGTCAGCAACTAATGGATGAAGTTGAGAAGGAACATAAGAAGATGTCTGAATGGACTAGCGAAACTCAGGAAGCAACGATGGTATATCTTTCTAAAGTAAAGAAAAGAATTTCAATGAAGCATATTCTGTTTCTTATCTTTCATTGGGAGGATTTGTATCTCATGGTTCTTTTACTTTTCATAGGCTTCATATAAAGAGCTCCAGGAAGATGTTGAAGCTACTGCTTCTCGTGGTATTGCAGTACCATTTCCCCTTTCTGTGATTCTGTATTTTGCATTATTCCAGCTTGAGGAAAAATTAAACAAGCTGCTTATAGAAATTAATAGAATTATGGAACAAATTTTCTTGGTGGTTCTTGTTATCCTAAACTGACCATTCTGATGATTATAGCTAACTGAGTTGTTATGTTGATCATGAATTTTGAAAACTTGGGACATGAATTTATGTTAATGACTTGTTATACTTGTAACTTTTGTTTGTCAGGCTTCGCTTCAGTAAATGAATGTTAGATTCACTCCCGTGCAAATACGAAAAAGTCCATTAATGCTTTTATAAAGGGACCTATTTGTTTCTAGGATACCAAGATTTATCCACTTAGGTATTGATAGTGCATTATAATTATTTTTAGCATGATACAAATATAAAATTTCTGAGAATAATCATTTTGTAAGTCTTCATATTCTAAAGTAAACACTGAATTATGATAAATCAATTGTTTATATACATCAACTATTATTTAACTAAATGTTTGATACATCTCTCCCTTATAAGAGGTTATAGATTCGAGTCAGGTTATGTTTCTTTATGTGTCTTCATTTCAATATTATTTTTTATTGTATTATTATTGGTGTTAAGTTGGACTTTGCTCCTATATGTGTCATCATTTGGAGGTTATTTTCTATTGTATTGTGATTAGTGTTGAGTCGCACTGTACTCTTGTACGTGTTCTCATTTGAAGATTATTTTCTATTATATTATGATTAATGTTTTCGTATTATTATTGATTAATATATGGTTTTTGCTCAAAAAAATTATTTATATACAATGGTATTACAATTAATTCTTTATTATTTTAATTGTTCCAGGGTGCAAAACCACTCTTGAAGAGCTCTCCAAGTCCTTTGACAAAGGAATCAATGACCTTCGAAGCTGCTTTGGGATTCCAGCACCTTAAAAATAGTTTCTGCAATTGCAAGGTTAGCATTGATATTTTCTCATGCCCTAATTTCCAAATGTTGTTTAAATAGCCCTAATTCGTGTAATTGGTTAAAATCTTCTACATCCATGTGAAGTTTGCAAGTTTTAGGGATCTGTCTGGGGAAAAATGATATTGCTTAACAAAGACAAGATATCAGTTATGAAATCTCTGTTAAGCCATGCAAAACTTATTGGTTGTTGTATGTTAAAATTGGTACATCACCAAACTTAGTAGAGTCAACTTGTTTGTCTTATGAAACCTTGTTTAAATCAAAATAGACCAAGCACTAAGTTCAGTACATCAGTGAAAGTTTGCTTTTGAATCTTCGTCAAAAGTTAGGATAGTAAGTTAGTAAGGAAGATTACATCCAACAAATGGATAATGATCACCATTTAATTACTTCCTGTTGAAACAACTCTTGATTTTGGTTTTAATGAGGATGAACTTACACATCTCAAAGAATGAAGAGATGATTGTCTAACAGTTATGGAGGCATGAGCCACTGGATGTCAGATTTCTTTTATTCAAAATAATGGTAGAAGAAAGAAGCTAACAAATTCTTAAGCTTAGAAGTTGGTTCAAATGTTTACAGCATGGAATATGAATAGTAATACAGCAAACCTGAGATAAAGTTTTTATTTTTTTTAAAAAAATTATATTATGTTATTCTAATTTCTTTTATATATAATTTAAGTTAGGTATTTTTATAATTTGTTTGTTGATAAGTGAAAATACAAATTCGTTAATGTTGAATTAAATATGTAAATAGAATTATCAACCACTACTTGATTCAATAGTTAGTATGTTTATTTTTTATAAGAGGTTGTAGGTTTGGGTTAGTGTGTACTCCTATATGTATTTCTTTGTATTTTTGTTATGATTGATATTTATATATCATTAATTGATAAATCTATCAGTTTTTATTAAATAAAGAAAAAATTTTGTTAAAGCATTTAAATATATAAATACAATTAAATCATATATATTAAATAATTAAAACATGAGAATTAAATAAGAATAGAATGAACATCAAAGAAGAAACAACTTATGTGCATATAAATATGTTTTAATACCAACCTTCTTGTTTTTGAGAAATCTCCACCCAACCTTGACTGCCAATGCAAAAATGGACTTGATATTCTAACCTTTTGCTTCAGTGTCTAATATTTGAACGGAGCTTGTTGTAATTCTGTTAAACTTCCGCTTGTCTAGGACCACATTGTTGGTGCAAGAGCTTCTTATTTGGCTCCTGGATCTCTTGAATCTTCTGTAAGTAGCAGTACAACAATTTAATTGCTCAGACTTTTGTATGGTTTATAATTCACTGCTTATAAATAAAAATTGCTTCTTATACTCAACGAACATCTTGTGCCTAGCGAAATATGACTGGTTCAGATAATTAAGGACCTTATTTGTAGCATCAATGCGAAAACCACACGATTCATGCATTTTGATTGTTAACTGATAAGTCATCTTTGAGCTGATTAATAAATTTTTCATAACTAATAGATTTATGTATTGTTTTAGATGAGTTATCACTACCATTTATTATTATTATTGTTATAGCATTGATCATCTGCCTCATAGAGTACTACTAGAATAGAGATTATAATCTGTCACAATTAACTATTTTTATATAATGTAGAATTAGAGATTTTGAACTTTGATTATTGCCTATTTTTAGTGATTAACCCATAACTCTCCCTCACTTTTTGCCCTTTGTTAAGATGATTTGTGTTTCATATACCAATTTAATATTTAGGCCCATTCTTTTAGTAACCCAAAACACCCTCTTATTTTAATAGTTTCTTATTTACTTCTAATAAACATTCTCTACATTTTTAATTTTTTTTAAATATAAAAATTATCTACCTTATTAATTTAAAAAATTATTTAAGATATAAATTTTAAATTACACCCCTAATAACTATTTTCCTGTCAAAAAATGTACTCTTTATCAATTATTATGTACTCATCCATCTCTTTCTGTTTGCTATTGGCCATCACTTGTTATTGCCTTTATATTTTACCCTTTTCAGATAAAACTATAATTTAAAAAATTATTTAAGATATATTTTATCATTTTAAAGAAATTATTGATAAAAAATCATACTAATTAATAAATTAAAGAAGATTAGGATGATTCAACTAGGTGACAAGAATTTTTTAGAGAACCATTAGGTGAAAAGATTAAGATAACATTTGTTTGCAGTCTTATCTTACTCTTGTGCAATACAAGTAAAAAATATCAAGATATGCTGTTATGTTTGTATTTCAAAATATAATATTGCAATTGTTAATAGTAGTATCCCTAAGCCAATTATGTAAGATTGTATTATTGTAATAGTTTAATTTTAATCATTTTATTTTATAAAGGATAAGTTATTTAATTTCATCATATTGTTGCAAAGATAATTGATATCAAGATATTCATGTTGGATCCCGTTGTAAGATAAAGTTCGTTGTTTTAATACGAAGAATGGATTCTTGCATGGAGTTTTAAGATGAGTAAACTAAGAATCCAAACATAAATGTACTATTTATTTTTTGATTTAATGCCTCCATGGTTTACTCATATGGACTAAGTTATATTTTGATACTAATAGTTCTTGAACAAAGTATCTATTAGGTTCAGATTCTGCATAGTTGTGTAAGTAGTAATTAATGCTCTGCCACTCGTTGTATAAGAGAGATGGTATACTATGGTTGTTCATTATAAATAATTTTAAAAATTTATTATTATGATAATAAAAACTAGAATATTTTCTTATAAATATAATTGATTTAAAATGTTACTGAAATATAAAACGTGACTAAAGATATATAATACTATTCACTTGAGGTTTCATTAGAATTAATGTGTTCATTGTTTTGTTTAGAATGAAAAACAGTACCAAAACAACGTGTTTGGTCTAGATCAAATTGAATCGATCGATATAGTCTACTTTTTGGTTCAAGGTTGTCTGGATCGAGAAATCTAATTTCTATCAGTTTAGTCTTAGTTTGGTCCGATTAATACCAATTTTTTTAAGCTTTTTCAAAAAATAAAAATTAAAAACTCACTTTTCAACAAATGACTTGTTATCGGGTCTGTATAAAATAGAGCCTGACCCGACCCATGTGACAAAATCAAAATGCACTGTTTCACTAATGAGTGATCCAGTGCGTTCGAGCTTAGATAAGCTTGGAGACAAAATAAGTATTTAAACCCGTCTTCTTCCCCGAAAAATCCTAATTTTCTCTTCTCTTTGTTACCATCGACAGACAACGAAAGCTTCCATTTTTCTCTGTTTTTTCTTGCATTCTTTTCTAGTTGTTTTGCAGGTAAACACATACACACATCGCACAGCCACTCCCGCAAAGAGCTTCTCTCTTTGTCCCGCTTTTGTGAATTCCACCTTCACCAAGTTTCTCTCTCTGTTCACTCGCTTCCGTACCTTCTGCCTTCACCGAGCACCACCTGTGCAATCCGGTATTTTTTTTTTCAATTTTACTTGTTATTTTTTATACGAAAACGTTAGTTTTTGGATGGTTTGATTGGTAAACTTCATTTTCTTTCATGATATCAGACCACTTCCGCTTTCCACCTCCATATTAAGAATGGAGAGTCAAAATTCTTACCAAACTACTGCAAATCCGAACCCCAATTTTAGGAATTTGGCCATAACAAACCTAGACATCTCAAATATCAACAACCCATATTATCTTGATAAATCACTAAATTCTACAGCGATTTTTGTCCCAGAACTGCTTAATGATAATAACTATTACACATGGACAATTTTCATAAAGCGAACATTGAGTATACAAAACAAAATAGAGTTTATAGATGGAATCTTAACACAACCTATGAATCCAACGGATCCATTGAGAATACACTGGAAATGATGCAACGATATAGTGATTATTTAGATACATAATGCACTATCACCTGATATTAAAGACCGACACATTTTATGCTCAAACAGCACATCAACTATGGCATGAACTAGAACAAAGACATTTTGAACAAAATGCAATTAGGGTGTATCAAATTAAGTAGTCGATATCTGTACTCACGTAAAACCAAGAGCTGGTATGAGTTTATTTTTCAAAACTCAAATTTCTGATTGATGAACTCGTACTCATTCTCATATGCACATATAGGGGACTTAAACTGATTATTGGGTACTAGGAGAGAGATCACACAATAAGGTTTTTGATGAGACTTAATGAGTCATAACAATTTGACATCCCAAATCTTGGCAAAGAAGCCTCTCCAAACGATGTATTTTCTATCATCCAACAAGAGGAGAAAAAGAGAAAAATTTCTTTGAAATCTGTCACTAATTGGGCTATAGCTTTCAGTATAAAAGAGGCCAACAAATCATAGAGAATTGCTAGCCCAAATAAGGAGAATTATTATTATACCTATTACAAGAAGACTGTACATTCTTCGAAAAAATGCTTTAAGGCCAATCTAAATAGACTTGTATGCACCAATTGCAATATGTTAGGATATACAGCTGAGGTATGCTATAGAGATAAGAAACAAGCAAATGGACAAAGGACCCAAAACAAGATAAGATAACCCACTATCAACCAAGTATTCTCTGTTGATGAATAAACTGAACTCAAGAGAAAAGAGCACAATCTATTGACAAAGGATCAACTCCACCAACTTATGGCCTTCATTCAACAAAGTCAAGCTATTGTCAATATGGTACAAAAACTTTAGAGCAAACTCAGGATCAGAAACTCACTGCACTCTCTGGTATGTTTTTTTATTTCAATGTATGCACAATAGATAGAAATATTAACACACATACAACTTGGATAATTGATACTGGGGCCTCAGATCATATAGTACACACACCACAATTATATACTGAGATAACATCAAATGTTAAATCTAAAGTTGTATTACCAAATGGAGAAAGTAAAGATGTGTCTCATGTAGTAGTAAAATTAAGTGATAAGCTTCTATTAAACAATGTATTATGTATGCCCTCATTTAGATTTAGTTTAATATATGCAAGAAGGTTAACCCAAGATATTAGATGTTATTTAATTTTCTTACAATAATATTATGTCATCTAGAACCTTTTGACTTGGAAGACACTTGAGATGAGTGAGATTAAGGATGGAATATATCAGTTTAGACAACCCAAGGATTCAGAAAAAACAAATCAACAAATCTTTGTAGGAATGAAACTACAAAGTTCCAGCAAAGAGGAGAGAAACTTTGATATGTGGCACTACAAACTTGGACACCATTCATTCAAATCTAGTTTTGATTTTGATATGTTAGCAAATAAAGACTCTAAGTTATGTTATATATGCCAATTGGCAAAAATGCATAAACTTTCATTATCTGATAGTACTAATAAAGAAGAACAATATTTTGATTTAATATATTGTGATATTTGGAGACCTTGTAATGAAATTTCTAATAATGATTTTAGATATTTTTTAACGATTGTTGATGACTTTACTAGATGTACTTAGGTATATATGATGCAAAGTAAGGCTGAAACAGGTTCACATTTGTAATATTTTTGTACTTTTGTTGAGACTCAATTTGACAGGAAAGTAAGAGTAATTAGAACTGAGAACGGAAGAGAATTTGAAATGAAGAGATTTTATTATGAGAATGGAATCATGCATTCAAAAAGTTATGTGGAAACTCCACAACAGAATGAGAGAGTGAAAAAAAAACATCAACAAATACTCAATACTGCAAGGGTGTTAAAATTCCAAATTGAATGGACACTAAATATTGGAGCGATTTTGTTCTTACTACTGCATATTTAATTAAGAGAATAACCTCCTCCGTGTTAGGTAGGAAGATACCTTTTGAGGTTCTACATGGAAATAAACCAAATTATAGTCACATGAAAGTATTTGGATGCTTAACCTTCGTGTCTACTTTATTGAGTGGAAGACGAAAACTCGATGCAAGAGCAAGAAGATGTGTATTCATAAGGTATCCTTCTGGTATAAAGGGATACAAATTGCTAGATGAAGAGACCAATGAATATCCCATAATGAACCAAGTTCATATGAGGAGACTAGTAAGGACCCCAACTAGAGAAATGCCATGGAAAACAAACCCCAAGCTCTTGAAGAAAACAAGACTTGAAAACTATTTAATTTACCGACAGGGAAGAGAGCAATATGATATAAGTGGGTTACAAAGTGAAATTCAAAGCAAATGTGTAACAGCCCCGAAATTTTAAAATGAAATATGTGTATTAAAAATGTCAAATGCAAAAGCGTAATAAAAATTTTGATTAATATCCCTTACACTATAACCAAAACATACTCAAAGTATAAAAGAACAAACTAACTAAAAGAGAAACTCGAAAATACAAACTATAATATAACTACGGAGTCTTTAGGCGTCCCCTTCGCCGTCTTCCTGCGGAACGGGCTCGGGAACAATGTTTTCCTGATCTGAAATAGTTAAATAAG